TCTTTTAATCTACACTGATACAAAACTCTTAAATATTACTACTAATGTACCCAAGTTTATTTGAACTTAATTTGAGCTGGGACTATTTTGTCTACAGGTACAATGGGTTATGAATTTTGACTTTACTCCATTTATTGTTATGACTGACTTAGTTACCACTAGCAGTGGAATTCAGAACGTGCGTCTTGTTATATTTGAGACTCATCAGCTGGACATGCCTTTACCTCAATGAGTGATGTTGTTCCCACTGAGACTCAAACCTAGCTAGCCGCAACCAAGTCAACTGTAGCAATAAATACTCAGGCAATATCGAGGTGTCCGCATAGAATCCCATATACCAATAGATGCCAATCAATTTGATCCACTATAACAACGGAGAATTACAAGTATCAAACAAAAATAATCCACTCCATTCACTTCATTATAGATGAAATGGTAACATGACGGCACAATAAATAAGATTATACTAGAATACTGTGTTAGTTTCAATTAACGCATGAAACAAGATATTCTGCTGATGATTTGGCTTTGAAAGAATGATATAATTTAACAGTGTTACTGAAGTCTTATTAAAGTAAACTAGTTGAAATAAATAATGCACAGTAAAATACAAAATAATTTAATGTTGATTTTAGTCAATACTGGACCAAACATTTTCACGAGATAACTTTTTATGTTGATAATTTTTTTAATGAAATTTGGATTACACCTTTAAGGTGGAACGTTACATTGACTTAACTTCAAACGAATACATGTCATGTCTAGCTGTAAAAATTTATACTCAACAGAACCACCCAATTTACAATTTTTTTGGAATCAAAGTTTTTCTTGAGTATACGCTTATCTTTCGGTAAGATTTCAAATGTAAATCAATAGTAAAGAATTTTAGTTCATTTGCAACATTAATTAATTTGTTAGTTATGTTCTCTACTGAATAAAATTCTATTGTTTCAACATTTTTTATGAATCGCTAAAATTGTTTGAAACTAATTGCCTTCATTCAGTTTTATGATATCTAGAATAACCTCTCCACCTCTGTTAACAGTTTTGAATGTCATTCGGGAAAAATTCAATTTCTAGTAATAAAAAGCTGATATTTGTCACTAAATCACTTTAAAATACACACATTTGTGCAAATTCATGCGATAGGCAATAAGACACACCTATTATGCGTAGAGAAAAGACCCTAGAAGATTTGGATTTCGCCGATGATGATTTATGTCTGTCTGATGTCGCACAAACTCGAAGAGCTACAGACAAAAACCAATAAGTTGGCAGAAGAGGCAGCGAAAACGGAACGTAGAAAAGACAGAGATGATGAAGGCACACAACCAACAACAACAAGCACCAATCAACATCCACGGGATGAACCTAAAGGAATTCTCTTTCACCTACTTAGGCAGCATCCTCCTAACTACAGGAGGTGGCACAATAAGGGTGTCGGAGCCAGTATCAGAAAATCAAGACAGGCCTTCCTGCATTAATCTGAAATCAGTGTGAAGATCTACTGCACTGTACTCAGCATAAAGCGTCAACAAGATCCGGATTTTCAACACAAATTCAGTTAAGTCAGTGCTTCTATGTGATAGTTCAGAAACTTGATGCGTTACAAAAAGTGTTTCCGAAAAACCACAGACATACAACAACAGCTGCCGCCTACGCTCACTCGATACTAACACTGAAGATTAGATGGCTAGAATAATAAGAATAAGCAACAAGGAACCCTGGCTGTCTGGCAACGAACAAACCAAGAACTCATTGCCCAACAAATGTGCAGAAGAAAGTGGAGATGGATTGGGCATACGCTTATAAGACCATTCGGGGACGTCACGCACCAGGCCAGTCCTTCGAATGGAATCCATATGGAAACGATGAGTTGGGCGTCCGAGGGTGACATGGTGGAGATCATGTGAGGAGTAAATGAAAGCTTCTGGGAAGTCGTGGAGCCATGTTGAGAAGATTGGAGAGAAGAGAGTGCAATGGTGACGTGCTACTGAACCCCTTTGTTCCAGTAAAAACCCAAGCGAGAAATAATAATAATGATATTGTATGTAGGCTAATGATACTGTTTGGTTGTCGAAACTACGTCAAGAGGTGCGGTGTTTGCACCTTTGACCCACTCGTTGAAAGTCAACTAAATAAACCAGAGCCATAATTTCACGCTATGTCATTTACATTAGTGTAAATATCGAACAAGCCATAATCAGGTGTAAATAACTGTAGTTGTATGGCTTTGAGAAGATGCTTCGATATAATCACTGAACTCGTTGTGCCTATTGCAATATTTTCGCAAGTTTTTTTTATACGTTTATTTCACTTCATGAACTTGAAATGAATACGAATAACAATTTCACCAGAATGAAGTTAGTTCATTTTATTTCATCAGTTTGTCTTCGACTGCTGACCACCTCGAATATTGATGTCTAACATCGTAACACTATGATGATTAAATTCACTAAAAAAAATCACATCAATCACCACGTTAAACAGAGTAGCAACAACTCATAATAATGATTACAACAATGGTCAGGGAAGCTTATTGAAAAGTCACGACTGGAATTCACCATGTAAACTTCCTAAAAACAGACTGAGGCAGTAAAAAAACATACGGCTGCACAAGAAACTCAACAAACAGATCATGTAAGAGACAACCTGTCTAAAATACAGTGAACTAATCTTATTCACTTAAAACTAGAAAAAATAGGCTAATTTATCGTCGGGTGGTGAACATTATACCTTTCTAATATGAACTCCTGATCAGAATCTACTGATTAAGTGCACAATGCGGTCATTAACCTAAGTAACACATCGGTGCAGTGCATTTTTTATGGTGGAAGAAAAGTATGTTGAAAATCCACAATTTTACAATTTTATACTTTGATATTACATTTTGAAAGCTGCTGAAGAGAAACTCATGCAATGAAACAAGCCGATTTTATTCTGTGTAACTTGTTTTTTCTTGTTTTTATTACACCTTTATATAGATCTTCAACTGTAATATGTACTGCTTAACTCGTCATCGATTATCAGGTAATATTTATTTATCGATGCCAAAAGCCATCTAAAAGATAAATTATTATTAATTCAAGTGTTCAATGTCTTAAATATGGTCGATAATTTGTACTGTAGATAAAACTATCAACAATGAACTAACTAATACAAGGTGTAGTGTTTCACTTTGCGATACACCCCTTGGAAAATTCATGCATAATTAGGAAATATTAAGTTAGGCTTTTCGTAATCAATCAAAAAGAAAACAAAATTACATGGAAACAAAAATACGTGGCTGGATTTTTTTCCGAGAGAACAAATTTTCGTTGTAATGCCTAGAAATAGATAGCCATCTTGAAACACTTCATCTAATGTACAAATATATGTATTCATATATGTGGGACGGAAATCACAATCTAGTTATAATACAATAATAATACCAATACTAATAAAAATAATAATTTTCAAGGTTGATTTCACGTGACACAAATACTGATCAAAATAAAACGTTGGGAAGGAAAATATGCACGACTCAAGCAAAGCTGATCATTTCTTGACTAAAACTAGAATAGATACTGACAGTTATCTTTCATAATAATTTTATTAACTGTCTCCCACAAACACACGCACAACTGCATCTCCAAGCTGTAATGACTTCAGAAGAAACAGAACTTCAGTGTGTTCAAGTATATCTATCTGATACAATTTGAGTCGAAACAGGCTTAAAGTTAAAAAAAATTGAATTCATAAATATATTTATGAATCCAAAAGGATTAATGATGGATAGCGGTTAACAGCGAAATCTAGGGCACGCGTTTCTTCCAACGTAGGACTTGGCAGCTGGATGTATCTACCTCCCAGTAAGTGGTGTTGCTCTAGCTAAAACACAAGCTAGAACATGAAAAATCCTAAACTGATTTCTAGTCCCATGTAAAAATGGGATGTCTATTTGTTAAAGTGTGCATAAGGATTGATAAAATCTTTACAACAAGTCGTATATGCGTAAAATTCTTTCAACTAGTGGCTTTACCTCGAAGTTTCTGGAAAAAACACGTGGACCGATGTTTAAGATGGTTGATTGGCTGAAGATATATATATATATATATATATATATATATATATATAAACATTTTAATGTGTATATATTGTCTGACGTTGCGGTTGACGCTGCAAATACATCTCTGTTTCTACTACCGCCTTTTCTATTTACGGCGGAACTGAGTGATCAGCAAGGGGTGGAATTTCTAGGTTACTATACAAGCGTCAACAGATACATAAATCAGGCTATATCAAAACACTGTGAATATGTAAAACTACTTTTATTCAAGGTCTTCATATATGTACTACTGGCAACTTTTATTCACAGAATTGGAACATAATAACTGTTGTAATAACAAAATCCCTAGAGTAGTTCCAACGCTGAATATTTTCTAACAGTGTCACCACTGTTTTATCTAAGTGGATATTAGTTTAGCCACTCACACCTGGACAGAGAAGCTGTCTACTACTTCAAAACTTCTGAAATTCCCCATATGAAGTCACACTTGACGAAAACTATTCTCCAATCAAAGTAATATGAACCATGAAAATAGATGCCCACTCAGTATTCATTGGTGGCTAACTATAAAAAGAATTTCCCGCAGTGACCTGTGGAGTCGATTATAAAGACAGTGACAGTGGACGAGCATCAATAATATTCCTTATCCCTATAACATCGTTACCTTCGTATAGCTAAAAATGAAACTGTCAGATTCCGATCCAAAAGTTAACAGATAACTTCACCTTATAAGACCTCCAGTCGATTTATTATGTAGTCGACGTTGAGTACTGCTGCAGAATCCAAGTTTCCTATCAAACAGTCCCCCCCTTATTCACGCCAGTTATTTAACTGGCATTATTTCTTGATTAGAAATAAACTTTTCATGCATTTATATATATATATATATATATATATATATATATATATATATATATATATATATAATTATAGGTGATAAATTATTACTTACTTTCTGATCGCCAGACTGTTTTGATTCACTTAACACAAAATAAGAAGCATGTTTAGTTTTCAAATGCGATAATTCTGATTGTAATTTTTCCAACTCCCTGGCCTAAAAGTTTAAATGATAGGAATAATTCGTGAAAATGCATATGCATGTTGAAAAAAAGCCAATAATATATAATGAAGTAACTGAGTTTCTTCGTTCGTAAGAAAATACCCTTCAAAATTTTCAATCTTGTCTTAAAACTACTCAGCCAAATAATTATATTCCTTTAAATTATTTTTTCAGTCGACCTAATAATTCAAATTTATAGTTATCTCTGTTTGTCCAGCTGAATCACTAGGTAAAACTAAGCTTTACTTTAAGTCTCAAGGTGCCATTTAAATATATGACCTTCGATCCCTGATCTGCTACAAGTAAATAAACTAAATAACTTGTTTGAATGAAGTTAATTTTTTATGATTTGAATCAGCATTATTTTTGTCTAGATGACAATGATTATGCTCATAACCATCACCAGTCACTTCATCTGGACGGAAGGCGTACAATCGCAAACCATATGAGCAATGGCAATAAATTGGAGGTCATTAGCACTGATATTGTTCACTTTTATACACATCTATATTTATATATTCTTTTCGATTTTTGTAAACTAAGACTTATCTTTTCGTTACTTTTTAAGTATGCATAAAAATAAAATCTAAAGTAAAATGTTTTATTCAAGATATAGATATTTAAAAATCTTTATCCTACTTATCATGTAAATTTACAGTAAGAAAATATCTACGCGCACTATCTTTATTTGTTTTTGTTGGTCTATGTGCAATTGTGCCTCTTCCAATAGAAATAAAGCCTTTGATTACGCTGTTAACAGATGCTAAGTAAACCACCAAGTGGAAGCAGTATCTCCAAAACCATTCGGATGGCAATCTTGAGAACTGTATAAAATCACTTGTCTCAAAATGAGCAAATACTACCAAGTATTTTTAATTGACTTCAAATTGCCAGAATAATTCAATCGCATCTATAATCTTGTCACCTCATTTGCTTGTTATGCACAGGTAGGCTGTCAATCATTGAGTAATTTTCGTTATAAGATTTGGAAAATAGTACGAGACTTTGTGGAATATAGATCATAGCTGAACTTAATGCAATAAATGTATGTATGCCTTATCTATAGCTAAATTTCAAATCACATCTTTTGGCTTGTTATGATAAGTAATTTTATGTTTTATCTCTCTCTTTTCCTTGCATTGGATTACATCTTGCTTTGTTTATTTAAATTGTAACTTTCGGACCAATAAACAGTTATGCCAGTACCTGTGTTAATTATATTCGTCTATCCATCGATTATTGCTAATTCTTAGTATTTTTAGTCTGTTTTTTGTTGTTATAGAATTTCTTATTCGGCCAAGTGTGGTTGATACTGGGTGAAGGTTACAGATGAAATGAAAATCTTAGCCACGACAAGATTCAAACTTCATTTAAACCACCAACTATGGGGTGAAATTAAGATCTCATCTCCAGTTGAGTCTCTTAGCTCAGTTGATGGAGCACCAGGTCGGTAACTCCAAAGTCACTTTTTCTAATCCTGTCGGTGGTCAGATTTTCATTTCATCTCCAATCATCACTCACAATCAGTACTCAACTGTGGCTTTCTCAAATAGTTGATAACAACTTTAATAATCAATTCTAAATATTTCTCCATTAGTAGGCTTCTACAGCTTTTCGGATTTCAATTTCTAAATAAATAAAATTATTCATTTATTTTTAATCTCAACTCATCACATCAAGTTTAGGCTGCTGACATCCACTGATAAGTTATAGGAATTTTTAAGAGGTTTTACTCCATTAATTTTACTTTTATTAAACCTATCAAAACGAACTAGCGATGAGAAATAACCACATAGCTGATTAATTTCATTTTAAAAACAGTTCACAATAATAATCGATAAGACTTGGTTCGATAAAGAGATTTAATGGTGAAAACAAAGGATATTTAGTAGCACTTCGACTAACAATCTACAAACTCAAACCTACCTGAATTTGTAGCTTCTTTGTATCTCTGTTAATCATTGCTTGATTTTCAACGTACCAGCGTAGTTTCTTTTCAAGCTCTTCGACTCGACTTTCATAGTGCTGTTTCATACTTTCATAATCCGCCTGTGATTTTTGTTTGAAGGATTCATATTTTGTTAACAAATCATTCTTTTCACGTTCAAGGTTATTCAGCTGTGATTAAAACAATGCAAGGTAAATTTCTTGAAAATATTTGTCAGCATGTTAGGCAAATTATACTGAAAGTCGACCTTTAGAGGTTTACTCTTTACGAGTAAATGAAAGGCAGTCTATCTCGGATTTTTGACACTCTTAGTCATATATGCTTCTTAATCCTTACATAGAGAATATTGTGAAATTAAGCAAAAGTATGGTAAAGTGGGGCTCCTGTGTGTTAATCCTCGATAGTCAACAATTACATAACATGGCTGAAAGTTTTTCTAATTTTGATATATTAATCTTCACTCTATCTACTTAATAGAATCAACGCGCCAAGTGCTTACCGTCTATGTGTTCGGGATGGCTAATCCCTAAGATTTATTTATAATTGTAAAGTGTAAGCCTTATTTTCGCGCCCATTTTCCGCCATGCTATGTTGCTTATTTTTACCGCAGCTTAGGATACTAAACGCTTATTGGTCCATTTTACACTCGAATATGCTGTTTTGTTTTCGTTGGCCAAAGCCATCTGATGATATAAAAACGACTGAGTTTTCACCTATCATTATTTAGTTGGAGTAAATAAATGTCAATCCCATCGTCTTCTTTTGGTGTCAGCTGAATATCGAGTTGAGACGTCATTGTTCTATCGTTATTCGTGTCATCTCGGAGCGTTGTGTCATTATCCATAGCGTGGATTGTAACAATATGCTCCATTATATTTCTTCAAATAAGATTAAGTAATGAGCAATATATTGCCATTCAAATTACTTTCGGTTACTTGAGTAAATTATACATGGTTTGAGAAAGCTATACCTTCAAAATTACTTTATTTTTCCCTTATATCTAATTAGTTGCTAACACGTAAATGCTATGTCAAATATCGTTTTAGTAGTAAATGTCACAAGCTAATGCCGCTTATTCCAAGTTTAAAACAAAGTTTGAATAAACCGTGAAGCTGATTGGTGGACAATTCTTACACTTAGATTTACATGGGTTGATCAGCAGCCTGAAAATAAGTAACAAAACAGAAGGGGTAATAGATCGCATCTTCAGAAATAAAACATCAATGGTGCGTAGTTCCTCGATGTAAAAGTTGAATTTCACCTAGTATCTTCTAAAGCGATCACTCAACGGCCTTCGATAGTGAAATATACTTTATATTTTGAAGCTTATATATATAACAATCAGAAAATGATGAATAGTGAATTAATTTAACATGAATAAAACCTAATGGCCATTCAGTAAGACTTAATAAAACTAATACCTTTGAGTTAGTGTTTATCAGCTCAGAACGTGTGGCATCTAAATCTTTACCGATTTTGTCCTTCTCAGATTGTAACTGTTTGATTAAATCTTCCAGTTGATTGATCCGATTTTCTGTTAGGGAAGAAGGATAGCATATTCTAATTACTAATATGTTGTGGACCAATTCAAAATACCATTTATATTCCACTGATAAACCAAATGATCGTATCAACAAGATTAGCCCTTAAGAGTATCAATTTCAGAGGAACAGTCAACAAGTATATCTAAAGAAAGAAACGGAAATAGTTAATTACCAATGCAAATATTTCTGAAACAGAGAATTTAGATTTTAGAGTCTTTGTTACTAAGATGGATATGCTGTCTATAAAGATTAGTATGTTATGCCTTATCACTACAGACTGTCTTTATATTTCTGTTTGTCAAGAATTCAGAATTGGCTAGAATGTAACGTTTTGTGTGTAAAAGAAATAAATTCAGTAGACCACTAAACATACAAGAATATCCATTTTTGTACAGTGTAAACATATCATTCATTTTGATAATTAATACCATTTGGGGAAGCATCATCATTGTTTGGTGCTAGTTACCAACTAGTAAACATGAATTAATTGAAGCAGGAGGACATTTACCATTGAATTCTAATCCTATAACTAAACAACAACTGAATGACTGATCATCACCTAACAGTTTTGAATAGTTCCCTAGTTCATGTTAATAATGGATGAAGTTTTCCTTCACATCATTAACTTATCTGCAAACCAATGGATTGCAAATAAATAAAACTCAAGCTAGTTGGATAGTGTTTTGAACACTTGCTTATAACTTCAAATGTGGGTAACTCTTCTTGAATAAATCTTAGACGAAATCTCATCTCATCTGAGTAGCTGCGTATTACTGACTATGAAACATATACATACACACATAACACCCTCAACTGGGCCCTCAACATACTACGTAGAGTTCATTAGGATAATCCAATTGTTCAATATGTTTGACATACGACAGAAGGCAAACTATTGTTCCATCTTTTAACATCGAAATCAATAACTTTTACCCATACAAAACGGCAGTTTCAACTATTAATTGTAAGTTTGCCTGATACATGCATCCATAAATAAATGAGCAGAAACTTACTGTGAATAAGTGTTTGCTAAATTATTTCTCGTTTCTTGTGTGCTTGCTATTATCCAAGCTAATCACACTAAAAATCATACACATACTAATCGAGACCCTACAACTTGAATGCAATATGGAAAGCAACTTTTTAAAGAAAAAAGGAATTCGTGGTGTTAACAATGTAAATCCTATCCAAACGAATCGCTTTCACAAATACAATGCCATGTACGGAAGTTAAGTGTCCAAGAGATGTCGGTTGATTACCAGCTTACTAAATCACTTACACACGAAAAAATCTTCTATAACCTATCAGTGAAATATATTCTACTTAAACATTATGTCAGAATTAAGCATCAAAATTAGATGTCCGATTTCATTGTTTTGAGCCCATTCAATTTCGCTAACACTCGAGCACACTAGTAACAAAGTAATATTTATACACGGTCGAAATTACAACATATTTTATACCTTCTTAAAGGACTGAATTAGCCACATTTGTCATCGAAGCATAAATACAAGCATTTCCAGTGGGTTTTTACCTAAAATAAAACGTGTCTGTGAAAAAGAAAATTAGTGCTTGTAAGAGAAGATAAACATTCTCCTAGTCATTTGTTTAAAAACTGAAAAAGCAGCAGTTTGTATGAGATGGTGGAGAAAATTTGTTGCTTACAATAATGATTTCAGGAGTTTTGCATTCTTTACACGAGAGCGACAATAAAAGCTACGTGTCTCAACAAGTTCACTCAGAGAAAGTAAAACCACCAAGCAGTAGGTACATCAATCTATCTAAATGCACAATCCAGCCATCAAAACGGTGGGAAAAGGCTAATCAACAGTGATGAGATAAAAATAGACATAGAAGGCAGTCGAACACCAACAAACCTGAACATTTCTAGTTTTTTGCCTACCATACAAGCGAATAAGTCTTATTTACTAAATATAGGAGTGAAAACTGAGCGTTGGGGTAGATTGTAATTTCATTTTAGTCTGTTTATTAGAAATGTTACACAATGAAACTTTACCGGGTAAATGGTGCTGTTTCACTGTGTGACATCTCTTATTGATTAAAGTAAGGAGACAAAAATTGTTCACCTTGATTTAATCTTGTACTTCCAGATAACATGTTGCATATTTGTTGACTACGAAGTCTTAGTTCTTTATTCAGTTGTTCAACTTCAACTCTCAATGAAAGATTTTCATTTGTAAGACGTTTTGCTGTTTTCGAGTCTTGTGTTTCTGTCACGCTATCCTTAATTTGAAAAATGTTGAAAAACAGTTAATTATAGTGTGATAAGTTTACAAGTTTTAAACTAAGGAGAAATCATAAACATTTTATTGTTTTAACTACCCACACAATAAGTACCGTAAGCAATTGACATTGCCAAATTATAAGATCTGCGTCTTATTATAAAATCAGAATCTCCTATCTTATAGAATTCGGTCAGCACTTAGGACTAGATTACATAAAGTTGCTTAGCCTCCAGTAAACAATCATTGTACATAGGTTTTCACTCATTCTATCACAAGGCAATTGACAGAGACCATACCAAAGAGTATCAACTTTCCAAAATGAAAGATGAAACACTGATTAATACTGAACTAACATTCGCCTATCAGGTTCTTCAAACCCTCGACAATGCGGCCTACTAACAGTGCACAAATTAGGTTTTCCCTTCGTTTGGTACTATTATTATTTTCAATTTATTATTTGTCCTTTGGGTTCTTAGTGGAACATAGGCCTTCAGTAGCACGTCCCTATTTCAATCTCTTCTCGGCAGTCCTTTGAACCTGGTTCCATGACTGCCCACAACCTTTCATTTCTTCCTCACACGATCTCCATGTCACCCTCAGACGCCTAACTCATCGTTTCCCATTTGGCTTCCACTCGAAGACCTGGTCTGGTGCGTGATGTCCCAAAACAGTCTTCTCTGTCTACGTCCAATCCAATCCAATCTGTGCTTTCTTCTGCATATTTCTTGGGTAATGGGTTCTTGGTTGCTTCGTTGAGAGGCCATAGTCTCTTGTTGTTTATTCTTGTTATTCTGGCCATGTGATCTTCACTACCGAGTAAGTGTGAGTGGCAGCTGTTAATAAACAAATGTAGCTAGTTGGAAACGCTTTTCATAAAGCACCAAGTCACCCAACCATCACATAGAAGCATTGACTTACTTGACTGACATTAGTGTTGAAGATCCGGACCTTGTTCACGCTTTATGCTGTGTAGTGCAGAAGATCTCCACATTGATTTCAGGTTAGTGAATGCTTGTCTTGCTTTTCCGATCTTTGCATTTGATGTCCTCATCTGTGCCACCGCCTGTAGTTGAAACGAAGCTGCCCTGCCTAGGTAGGTGTAAGAGACTACTTCCTTTAGGTTTTGCTGTTAATGGTGATTGGTGCTTGTTGTTGTGGGTTGGGTATCTTCACCTTATCTGTCTTCTCTACGTTCACTTGAAGTCTCGTCTTCGCTGCACTACCTCTTCTACCAACTTGTTGGATTTGCCTGTAGATCTTCGAGCTTGTGAGATATTAGGCATAAATCATCGGTGAAATACAAATTTTCTTGGGTATCTTCATCGGTCGAACAGTGTATGCCCTCTTCTCAATCGTCTTAGTTTGTTGCATGATCCAGTCCACAACAAGCAGGAAGATTATTGGTGATACTAGGCAACCTTGTCTTACTATAATTGCCTGCATTGTACCGTCGTTGATTGGACCGAATTGATCGGTCTCTATTCACATAAGGGAATCTGTGCGGGTGCTTGGGTTTCAGTTGTAGTAAAACAAAAATAAAAACTATACCTGTCACACAAGGACTGGCTATCGTGGCTCGGCGGTGTAGTGGATAACGCCCTGGCGTTTGAAGCGATTGCTCCCGAGTCCGAATCTCGGTGGCAGCCACGTCCAGCTGACGAGTCCCAAATTGGACGAAGTGGGCATCCTGAATTCCACTGCTAGCCACTATGCATCATTAATACAACCACTGCCTTACTCCTGTCTTTGCCTTAAAGGCATCACTGAACTTTCCTTTGTGAATCACCTGGCATGCAGCGATGCCTTATAGCTGTTGAATGAGGTTCATAAAGCTTTGTGGTATTCCGTAGTGTTGAACCAACTGTCTGCCAAATTACTTCCAGGTCGACGCAACTGAAGGCCTTTTTTGAAGTCGATGAGGTTGAGGTAGAGGGTTGACTGCCATTCTAACCTCTGTTCTATGGTGATAAGTAGCGTTGTAATTTGATCCGCACATGATTTGTCCCTCCTGAAGCCAGCCTGTTTCGATCGTAATTTTCAATTCAGAGCATTTTTTAGTCTCTCCAGGATGATGCGGTTTAATATTAATCACAGAGTGGATACAACCATGATTCCGCGACAGTTCTTGCAAAGACTTAAATCACTTAGGTTCTTTGGGAATTTGATAAGGTAACCCTTCTTCCAATCGGAAGGTGCCTTCCCTCCCCCTCCTTCCAAACCTTCTGCAATAGTGGTGTGAGCAAGTTTGCTGTTATCTTTGCGTCTGTTTTCAGTGCTTCTGGTGGAATTCCATCTGGTCCTGCTGCTTTCCCGCATTTCAGTAAACTTATAGCGTTTAGGACTTCTGCTTTTGTCGGAGGGCCTGTGTTCACTGATAGTTCTGCCGTTGCAGGTGGTATTTCTGGACGAGTTGCGGGCGGTGGGGGTGATGGTCGATCCAACAGTTTTTCGAAGTGGTCAGCTCATCGTTTCCTTTATTTCTCCTCTCACTTTGATAACTAGGTTTCCTTCACTATCTTTCATTGGTTTCGTCTGCAATGATCTGATCCCGGATAGTAACCTGATGATTTGACATAAGGTTGTCAGGTCTCTCCTACCAGCAGCCTGTTCTGCTTCACTTGCCAGTGTGCCGTAGAAGTGTCTTTTGTCTTTCCACACACTCTTCTTCACTTGCTTGTCCAATGTAGTGTTTTACACGTTGTGTTCATCCTTGTAATGCACTGGTTCATCTTCTGTTTCACCATCTTCCCCTCCACGCTCTATCAGCTTCCATAAATCCGTCGAGATCCATTCCTTATCTTGTCTTGTTTCCTCTTCCTTCCTAATATGGTCATGAAGGTTTCCTTTCACATCTCTTTCAAAGAGTTTCAGTTATTTTCCACACAGGTTTCCTCGAGGATGTTGCCTAAAGTCTTCTAGTTTGTCCTGATGGCTTATGTGAAGATGTCCTTCGTAGTTTCGTCCTTCGGTCAGTTTCTGTTCTGGGAGTTCAACTTCAACTGTCCTCGTCTATCATCATCAACTTGTTTGACGGCTTTCAACTGGATATTGAGGTCAGCTTCCTTGCACTGGATATTCAGTGATGTGAGTGGTGTAAACCTACATCTGCTCCCCTTCTTCATCTGATCTCATCTGATCTCATCTGATGTGATGTGATGTGAAGTGATCTCGTGTCGAGTAGGCTGACTACATCTCCACTTTCTTCACATTCATGCGAAGTCGATCTGATGTTCAGTGTAGTGTGTCTGGTGTTTGGTGAAATCAACTGCATGTCGTTGCCTTGTGGATATCCTTTTACCTGTACACACTGCCTCCAATCACTGAATCGTTGAATGCACACGAGTCTGCAAACAGTTCTCCATTCTCATTCATCACTTCACCGAGTGCTTCTCGATCCATGATGGGTGAGTTCTCTTGCTGTGTTTTCTGCTCCCAGTTTGGTATTCATGTCACTCCACCCATTACTATGAAGTTTGATGTTGGCAAGTGTGGTGGGGTCATGTCTAGTGCTGATTGTAGTTGTCTGTAGAATTCCTCCTTCTTCTCTTGATCTACATTATTTGTTGGTGTGTTGCGTAGCATTCATTGTATGATTTTGACTTTCCTTCCTTTTGAGTTGAATCTTGCTGTCATAATGCTAATCCTGCAGGAGGAGATTGGCTACCACTGCTTGAGAGTCTTAGATGCTCTTAGAGACATCACGATAGCCACTCCAAAACTCAGCGTGCTGGTAGTCGTCGTTTGGGTGACAATACCAGAGTAGATTATTAACTCTCCAGTTAACGGTTGAGAGAGTCCACCTCCATTCCATCTACTTTCGCAGATTCCTAGCACTCGTATGATATATCTTCTCATCTCTTTTGCAATCTGGGCAGTCTTGCCAGCTAGTTTCAATCACAATGCGGACATTCCATGTTCACATTCTTACTTTTGCTTTCATCGAGAGAAGACAGATCGGACAATTGGCTTCCCGAAGGCTTTCACCAACCAGCGCTATTTCGTCTCCCCCGTTCCTGTGAAGAATGAGTTTATTTTTATTTTAATATTTTCTTTGTGCCTTGAAGTTATTTTACAGGTTGGATTGGTTTTCTAGAGTAGGGTTGCTAGCCCTATGCCCAAACTTCCCTCTTAATCCGGGCTTATCATCGGCTAGTAAACTAAGCTAGGTCCTTCTCAAGAATATACATGGAGGATAATATACATGATGAACTAGAAAACTTGCGAGAAATCCTGATGGGAAATGGATATTCACTGAAATTTATGGATACAAATCTAAAGCAGAAAAACCCTACAGTACGCGTACATACTGCTCCGAAAAAGATTTTACCATTGAACTTTGAATTCAAGGAAGATAATGCGGCAGATATTCTTAGAAACAGACTATCAAGATCCATAATCGGAACATTCTTTGTCGCTAATTTTAGAATCACATTCTGCTGTCAAAAGCTGATTTGTCAGTACGTAAAGGATAAGCTGGAGCATTGGGTTACATGGGTGTGTTTATCAGCTTTTCTTCTGTGGAGCCAAGTACATCGATCATACCGAGTGCCAGTTTATGCAACGCACTGGCAAACCTTGTCCAACTTGGCTGACAAGAGAAGAACGAAAACGCATCCTCAGTTTTGAAAGGGAACACTCAGTGAAATCAGGATACCTGGCTCTTTTTGATAAGTCCTTCAAAATTCTGTACAAAGTGCGACTAAGCTACTCGAAAAGAGTAAGGTTAAGACATCTAGGTATAGCTGAAGCATTGGTAATTCAAAAGTTCAAACCCTCATTACGTGCTCACAAGAAGTATGCAAAACCTCCTTTTTGTTCATGGTTATCGTAGAGGATCGATCACTCTCGATAATTGCCTTATGACGTAAACATCTCCATTTCGTAATCACTTTGTTTATATCCCCCATTTAGAACGCCTATAGACTTTATGTCACTTTCCTTTGTCATATAAGTTGACCGCTGACTGAAAATCACTCTAGAATGTTCTATCCTCTCGACTTAATATTCTTGAATGTACAGCTAAGAGACTGATTTCGTCGAGAAAAAAATTCTTCTTCACTGCAGTCATCTTCCATCTAATTATTCTAAATTTACTTTTTGCCAATCGACTGCAATCGTTCCTCTTGCTCATTTTAATATTTCTTTGCTTTATTAACTTAGCAGATGTCATTGTTATACATTATCGTATGTTAGCGCATCTATTCCACGAGAAGCTACAACACAAAACAAACATTTTATCAAAGCTTTTATGGAAATTATCTAAGTAATCAACAGCATAAAAAAGCAGGTTATAATTTATACTTCAGACATGATGGTGAAAGTCTCATCTTGTGTATGCCAACTCTTTTCCTATGAATATGGCCAGGCCTTATTTTGAGGATAGTCTTCAGCGAAGGCCAAAACAAAATGGAGAACCACAGAAAAGTATAAAGTAATGCCCAGCTGTTCAGTCCAAATTAGAGACCAGTTAGCAGTGCATACACTTGACTAGATCCAAGATCAAGCCTAGGAACCTTCATGGTATTGGATAAGAGTTGTGTGGAGTTGAAGGATACCACTTAAATAGTGATACAGACAAGACGTGTTTCAGTCGCTGAACACAGCACTGAAACCATTATATAATAACTGTAGTTTGCAGTAGAGAGTTAATAAAGCCAAAAAAACGATGATTCTAGGTTGTTTATCTGTGTAACATCAATTCAATTTCTATCTGCACCACTTAAAATATAGGAGAATGTAATACTTTCTGTAAATCAAAGACAAATTTAAATTGCAATAGTAGCCATTTTTGGAGAGAAGTTAGCATACTAAGAAGATGCTTAATCTTCATTAAGTGGACGGATATTACAGAAAGATTCACAGAAAAATATGAAAACATTTTGAAATAAAATGTCCAGAAAGATAATTGATAGCAGCTAAAGTAACTAAGAAAATATTTTCAGTTTAAGTATACCTATGTTATTCACCAGTGGAAGAACTAGTGGGTGGCACATCATTACTTTTTCATTTGATATGTATCCAGTTGTTGAACAATACAACAGTTTCCGAGATGATAACCACAGATTATAAGAATTAAACTTACCTTACGTGAATTTTTGATATATGCATACAACTTCTCATTTTCACGCTGATAACCAGAGATTAATAATTCTTGATTCGTATATTCCTTTTTCAATTCTTCTAAATCAGTGAAATCATTCACACATTTATTTCTATTAGTTTTACGTGTATCATCATTTACATTATTATGTACAGTAATTAATTGGTTTATCTCTGCTGATTCGGTTGGCTTTTCACCATCGTGATCCTTCTTTTGTGGACATTCCGAATTCTCCTATTCACGAGAGGTTTTTATAAAAGTAAAGTATTAAGAAACAGTAAATTACCAGTGCAAAAAATGAATCAGATATTGCAAAAACTAAGATGGATGGCGATATTGATAAAATATTAGGAAAAAGTTTTATTACTCAGTTTGTATGAATCATCATCAAGATATAACCGGATAGTTTCATAAATACTGGGCGCCGGGGGGAAGGTTGACATTCAGTGTAAGTTATATTTGGATAAACCTCAGTGTGTCTGAAATAAGAAATTCCAACGTTTCACAAGGAAGTCTGGTCCTAGCTTATTTACAGAAATAATCAAAGTCTACAATTATTATTATCAATACTAGTGTTTATAATATGATAGGTCAAAAACTGTACAGTTCGTCTCATTATTAAATCTTGGTTAGAATTTGATTACTTTTCAATAGGATTATTAGTCATTCACGCCATGGTGGACTGATACATATGATGCATGAATGTGAACCTGCGCATGTGTGTGTTGTGTTTCAGACATCGGTTATTACTAAACACAGGGGTTACACATGTCGTAATTATCAACTGGTGAAGAATATGTACTTGTTGCATATATGCGGCACAAAATATTTGTCGTTTTTACCAATATAATAAAACATAACGAACAAATGTGGATAAGATTAGGTTTTTTCTGCTTCCTCTCTGTTTTTTGAATGCCGCAGAATAAATAATAATAATAATAATAATAATAATAATAATAATAATAATAATAATAATAATAATAATGAAAGCAACAGTACAATTGATAGCACATTGTTTATTGTAGACGATGATTTCGATGATCATGACAAATTATGGTAGATAGGAAAAGAATAAAATGGGACATTACTGCTGGTTTACAAGAATAATGTTAATGCTTGTTTTGTTTTCTTTACGTCTATTTATAAATCATTGTCACGGGACAGCCAGCTGCACTCCGTCTCGTTTATTCAAGTTTTTGAGATTACTCCGTATATGTAAAGCCTTGCCAACCAGTCTTTCTTTAAATGATGCAAAACTTTTTTGTAGAACTGCATTTTCATCAAATTAACTCTTGTATCCCGTTTCTATAGAACATAGTGTTATAGCCGATCTTCTCTCCAGTCTCTGAATGTCTGTTGAGGTCTTTGAAATTCGTTTTAGACATTGTCGATGTTCTTTGACCTTCACATTCACCCCCTCGGATGTTCCCCCTACATAGACTGCATCACAATCTGAGCAATTTATTTCATAGGCACAATTCTGTTGACTTCTGTCAGTACCACATCTTTGACCTTTATCAAAGCAGAAACTAGATAATTTGGCGTATGCAAATAAACTTTTATCTCATGATTGTTGAGAAGCCTTTTGATCTCTTCCGATATCTCTTTGCAATACGGAATCAACACAGTGTTGATCCATTTCTTTTGGAGGATATTTCGGACTATTTTTCGCTTCATTTTTCAAGATTCTTTTGAAAAATCTATGAGGATAGTTATTTTCTCTAAGTGTAGATCCAATCAACTTTAACTTATTATTTTTGTCTTCTTCCACTGTCATCAGACGATTATCTCTGTTGATGAGATTCTTAGCAACCATCAACTTAGTGGTTAAGGTATGTACGGAATAACAGTCCAGATATCTATCCGAATTTGTTGCCTTTCTGAACATGTTTACCTTCATTTTGTTGCTGTTCTGTTGTCTTTCGACTATGCAGTCCAGAAAGCTAACTGGTTAACATGGGATATTTTAGATATTTTTCGTTATGCTGTTTATTTATCCGAAAGTTCTCCCAAGTTGTAACGATTAAGGATAACAAACGTATGATTCAAGTGTAACAGAGCATCTCATTATTGCACCTATCGGGGATACCAGAGATTTCATAGCAATTCCTTCTGTTTGTCTGTATGAATCACATAGTTCAGGGAGTTTTATAACTTCCCTTGACTAAAAAATTAGCATCTAAGCCAGTATCTGATACTAGAATCTTGTTTATAATGTCTTATTCATCTTTAATAGGAACATTAGTAAATGAGGAACAGAAATCACAACTTGTCATATTTCATCTTCATCATGATTTTGTCCCTGAATTCATGAGAATCCTATACCCTGTACTTTACTCCTTTTTCATATGATTTTAGGACTTTGGTTAAATGTTTTGCCAAGTTGTACGTTGGTGGGTTGATAAAACAGACAGCTGGTCATAATGGGTATTTTTAGTAGCCCATAGAATCTGCAGGAGTTACAGCTTTTTGGTGACACAGAGAATCAAAATGTATTCCCTAGTTTTTTCTTTCATAGATCTTAACATTTTCCTGGTTTGGGCTTTGAATTTATCCAATGTAATGTGTGTTTTTGTGAGATCAATTTCCTCATAAGGACCGGAATCAAGATGCTTCCCGGCAATGCTTTCATAATCTGCAGAATTCATAACTACTGTAGTGTTTACTTTGTTCGCTCTAGCTTTGATAATTGTATTTTCATTGTGTAGTCATTTTAAAGCGGATAATTTAACCTTATTTATATTTCACATATTTGATTTTTGATCTAATAGTGCACTAGATATTTTGTGTCGCACATCAATCGCTGCTTCACTTACAAGTTTTTCTAACTCCGGTTCAACTGTAGGCACAATCTCAAAAACAAATAAACGTTTCTTGTTTAGGTTGGGGTTGAAACTTTTCTGTAGGAGTGATAATCAGTACTCAGATAAATTCTGATCAGAAAGATTCACCACCACTTTATCCATATCGAGAGTATTCGTCTTTTGTTTACTGTACTGGCATTTAGGACTTGCATTTTCTTGAATCGCTAGTTCAAATTTCCTAATTCGCTGATTCTCAGATGTCTGGAGGTGATAATTCTCCTTATGCTTAGTAAAATTGTCCGTAGTCAATTTTAACTCAGTCCGTTCGTGGAAGCATAATATATCATTGAAAATATTGATACTACTTAATCATTATTCAAGTAGTATAAAGTATTAAATCGTGTCAGAAATTTCATAAAAAATGAAGTGTGACTTTACTCGGTTACTCAGATGATTGTAATTGGTGCAAAATACTCCAGAGTGGAATACAGATTACTGAATAATGCATGCAACTTGGCGTCATCAGTAAGAATTCTATGGTAAGCTACTTCAAGCTAGAATTTGAGTGAAGTTTTTAACGTTGATCGCAGAGGTTAATTAATGCATACGCTGAAAATATTCAAGTAGTATGAGTTGAGGCGCTATAGAGAACTTTTAAAGGTCACATATGGTGTCATTTTTGTATAGTTTACTGCAATAGTAGCAGGAAGAATAACCTCAAACAGAAAAGCATAGCATGAAGAGATGTTAAGCAGTAGACTTTGGCATTTATCCTATCCATGAAGCACGAATGTGTTCCTTAGTTCACGTGTTTTGTAAGTTAAAGAAATTACCCTTAAACCATCATTATTATTGTCACTAGGACTTCATGTAGTACCTGGTTTTCTGAAAATGGTTCCGTTTGTTTTTCCATGTTGCCAGGCTATGGATTATTTTTCTAAAATCAATATCTTGTAGCGCATTTTCGAAGTTGCTTCGATTTTTTTTTAGTTATTTTAAAAATTGTGCTTCGTGTCCTTATATGTTTATTGTAAAGATAGACTCATCGTTAACCAAGCACAATGTATCCGATAATATATCAAAAGATGAGTACATGCATAACATTCCGCTCAACCGTAGTAAGGGATTATGAGAAATGCAACGTGACAGCGTAAAACATGAGAAACCCGGAGTCACAGAACCACTCACGCATGAGAAACAAAAGTTTGAACAATTCTACTTTTGGACTTACAATTCTACGAAATAAACATAAGGTGGTCTGAATTTTAGACCTTCATAGACAGAAGTGGTTTCGACATGTTGCACATCTCGATTTATCATGTTATCCGAAATAGGACTAAGCTAGTTGGAAGCTAAAAGTTACCAGATCAAGGCATGCTAGAAATCCAGGAAGTTCCTGTTATTTTATCCGGGCAGTAAGAAGGAGTAGGCTACTTAGCTATGGGAATCAATGATTGCGGACTCTTCATGATACGGCTCAAAATCAGTTATCATGGTGCAGATGCATATATGTTTAATTATAACTGAGATTTTAAATACCTTAATTAAACTTCATTTGAAAAGAGTAAGAAGGACAATAGTAGCAGTCATTGACTACCTTCTCAAATACTACCGACTTCAGTTCGCGATTTTCTGACTATTTTCAAACTTATTAGGGGGAATTCGTGCATGAAACTTCCAAAAAAAATAATCATTTGTTTTCTTCTTTTCTCGTCGTTTTTTTAAGTACCAGTCATTTTCTATTTAGCTCTTTTTTATATGCTGCTATGAATGTTGGAAGCATAAACCAACGCACTTCGGTACCATATTTTACGTTGATTCCTTCAATTGTAAAATAAGGTATTAATATGTAGGCCCTAAGTATTAATCTGAAAACTGTGTGGATGAAAATTAGAACTCTTTGAAAGCTATGTGGAAAGAAACCTGCACAACCGTATTAGGAAGGAAGAAGAAGCGCTAAAACAAGCAATGGATCTCGACGAACACATGGAAGCTGATCGAGTAGGAAGAAGAGGATGGTAGAGCAGAAGATAAACCAGTGCAGTGCAAGAATACACAACGAGAAGAGGAATTGAGTACAATGTATAAAACACTACACTGAACAAAGAAGTCAAGAAAAGTGCACGCAAAGACAAAAGACACATTGGCAAGTGAATCAGAACAGGCTGCAGGTAGGCAAGACAGAGAGAGATCTGACAACATTGTATCAAATAACCAGGTTACTATCTGGGAAGAGATCAACGCAGACGAAACCAATGAAAGATGATGTCGGAAAGTCAATTACCAAAGAAGAGAAACAAAGGAAACGATGGGTCGATCACTTCGAAAAGCTCTTGAATCCACCACCACCAACTGCAATTCGTCCAGAAATACCACCTGCAGCACAGCCACCAAACGACCAGTGAACACAAATCCTCTAACAAAAGTCGAAGTCATGATTACCATAAAGTTACTGAAATGTGGGAAAGCGGCAGGACCAGATGGAATCCCACCAGAGGCACTGAGAGCATACGCACAGACAACAGCGGACATGCTCACACCACTATAGCACAACGTCTGGAAGGAAAGGAAGGTACATGCCGGTTGATTGGAAGAAGGGTTACCTTGTCAAACTCCCGAACAAGGGTGACCTAAGTCTTTGCAAGAACTGGCGAGGAATCACGCTGCTGTCCAACCCAAGCAAAATATTAAGCCGCATCATCCTGGAGAGATTAAAGGATGCACTGGATTCAATCAAAACTACGACAAGAGCAGGTTGGCTTCAGGAAGTACAAATCATGTGCCGACCAAATTGCAACGCTACACTACGCATCATCATAGATCAGAGTATAGAATAGCAGTCAACTCAACTCAACTTCAACTTCATCGACTTTGAAAAGGCCGGCCTTTGACAGCGTCGACCGACAAGTAATTTGGCAGTTGCTTCAACTCTATGGTTTTAGTGCCACAAACCTTTATGAATCTCATTCAACAACAGCTATATGAAGACGCCACATGCCAAGTAATTCACAATGGTAAGCTCAGTGATGCTTTTGAGGTGAAGACAGAGTAAAACAAGGCTGCCTGCTATCACCCATGATATTCCTGATTGTGGTCGACTGGATCATGTAACAAATAGTGTGGAGCGAGAAGAGGGGGATACGCTAGCTGGACCGCGGAAAAGAACCTAGAAGATCTGGATTTCGCACACACAAACTTGAAGATCTATAGGCGAAAAATAAGAGAAGACGTAGAGCAGCGAAGACGGGACTTCAAGTGAACGTAGAGAAGACAGAGGTGATGAAGATACCCAACCAACGCCACCACCAACAACAACAACAAGAAGCTGCAATCACCCTCAACGGAAGAAACTGAAAGGAAGTAACCTCCTTCACCTATATAGGCAGCACCGTTTCAACTACAGACGCCACAGGCACAGACGAGGACGTCAAAGCCAGTCAGGATCAGAAAAGCGAGACAGACGTTCATTAGCCTGAAACCAGTGTGGAGATCTTCTGTACTCAACTCAACATGTAGAACAAGATCTGGATTTTCAACACCAATTCAGTCGAGTCAGTGCTTCTGTATGACTCAGAGACTTGGTGCGTTACGAAAGGCATTTCCAACAAACTAGAGACATTCATCAACAACTGCTTACACTGGCTCGTTACTGAAGATCAGATGGCCAGAATAATGAGAATAAGCAACAAGGAACTCTGGCTGGCTTGCAACGAACCAACCAAGAACGTATCGCTCAACAAATATGCACTGGAATGAAGTGGAGATGGATTGGACTGTGCATGCACTGAGAAGGCCGACTGGGGACATCACGCGCCAGGTGAGCCAGGTAGTCGAGTGGAACCCGCATGGGAACCGACGAGTTGGGCGTCCGAGGCGGGGGTGACATGGAGGAGATCGTGTGAAGAGAAAATGAGAGCTTCTGGGCTGTCGTGTAGGGAGGTTGAAAAGATTTCAGAGAACAGAGCGCATTGGCGACGTGCTACTGAAGCCCTATGTTCCATTAGGAACCCAAGGCACAAATAAAGTAAATAATAAGTGTTAATCTATGTAATAGGCGAAATCTAGAAGTGTTATTTCTTCTTCACTTACCGATTCACTGCCACAATATTTCCTTTAACAACAAAGCGTAACATAGAGTGTACTGTTAGCTCCATAGTGCTTACAACTATAGGTCTTCGTGCTCTGATTGTTTTACTTCACTTCATTATGAATAATAACGAACAAGTGAATGAAATTAAACATTCCAGTATATTGGCCACTAAGGTAGAAGTTCTCTGAGTTTGGACTTTTTATCTATGTTGCTGTATGATTAAAATGGTATACATGTACATATCAACTTTCTTTTTTTAGTGTTCAGGTAACGATAAGTTACCAAAGGAATAGTCTTCATTCATGTGCTAGATTATCCTCATATTTTGCAACTTTGTTTACTTTTTTTTCAATCCACTCGGTCATTTCAATAAAAATCTCTACTATAAATAAGTTAGTAGATGTGAAAGTGACCAGGATTATGCCTATACAGGGAGGTTTTAACTAGTATTCAGATAGAATGATCATTTAGCTAGCCCCATTTTTACTCTCAAAGCGTTAAATGCTTGGAGATGACACCAGATTTCGTATTTTGGTTTGAATTTTCAGCCACTCTAATGTCAAGAATACACAAAACCTCATTTTGTGCAAAAGTAATATAACTGAGTAGACCTTCGGCAACGGTTTTAAGCTAAATATTTTCGGTACGTAAAAGGTAATGCTTTAAACTGCCAGATAATGAGATAAATGTGTACAAGAAAGGCTTATGACTTCCACCTATTTCTCTTTGATGATGTAGAATATCTACCGCTACTTATTAGCGATTTAGAGAAAGGATCTCAATTTGGTTTCGTCTTAACAAACAGTATCTGTCACGTAAAAAATGTTGAATACAAAGCTGTGATTTGATATCGGTCAACATTATGCAGTAAAATTATGGTGCTACTTCAAACTACCTTCATTTACGAAACTATAAATCTTGATAGAGCTCACTGAATAAGTTTAAGTGTCATGTTATAATGAAGACTAGTGATCAAAGGAGTGCAGATTTTCATCCATCTACGAAGAGCACATCCCAAAGGTATATCAACGTTCATATGCTAGTGAAATACTGGTCAGGGATACATAGTGTATCAGTCTATATATCAAATTAGAAATATCTTATGTTGTATAGAATGCATGCTAAAGTATACATAGTTCTTAAATAGGCAGTTCAAAGTTATACGAAATTAAATTTTACCTGTAAACGTGTTATAACATTCTGCAAGCGAAACACTTCACCCTCATAACTGGCTCGTATATCAGATATTTGTCTTTCATACTCACTTTTATCCATTAGTTCAGCGCGTAGCTTTGCATTCTAATAAACGCAGAAGCAGGATAAGAATATACAACACATAAAAACTAATACAATCCTTTTGGGAAGACGATTTACACCTGAAGCAGAAAACTATTAGAGAAGCATAAGAAATAAACGACAACAAAATACTTTTATAGGCCAAGTTTGCAACTACCAGATGTTGTACATCTTATCTTCAGACTATGTCAAGGTAAAAAATTCGGAATGCACCCATCAACCTTGTGCACACTTGTACAGCAGGTGACGACCTACACTTATTGTATAAGAGCCAATGATACTATTTGACTGCCCAACCCTCAGTAAATGGAGCCTGACCCATTGTTTGAAAGTCAATTCCCTGAGCTGATGAACCACAGTTCCACGCCGGGGTAATTGAAAGACCAAGTTTTTCCACCTTTAGGCAATTTGCTGCATAGAGAAAATGCCAGATAAACTTATCGTCTTCCAAATAAGTCCTGGTGACTAAAATTACCAAGATGAATTAACAACTATATACCTCAAAAATGATGCTTTCTTGAAGATCCTGGAAGTACTAGTTTAACAGGCGTCAAGTTACTTACAGTTACCACGCTAATCGATAAATGAGCTCAAACCCTGTTCTACCCACGGAGGTTTAGGTAAGGATTTATTGTCACCGGAAGTCAAATAACATTTGCCCAGTCCATAAACTTATATAAAAACTGCTGAGTTACCTATCACGTCTTGTTGCCATAGTACCATAATTACAGCACACTTCCGTCAATTAATGATGGTGATATGGCAGCGCTTACTACCGTTTACAACTTGGAATATGATAACCTTCGAAATAGCTACGAATTTCATGAAATAACGATGGCTGGATGAATTTAAAATGTCAGTTACCCATTTATCATCAAGTATAACTACAAAGTATAAAAGCAACATATAAAAAAGTCTGAATAATGCCAAGTTATGAATTAAATCGACAATAGCTATTTACACTACCTTCATTAACTACATAAATGATACCGAAAATATGTTAGCAATTCTTAAAGGTTTCTACAAGCATAAAGAAGGAACAGTGGTCAAGTCGTTTCACACGATTTTGAATCGTAGAGTAATCAATCGAATACAAAGCCTCTTCACTCAACCAACTCGATTGTATATCCAGATATACATGTCAAACATTTTAACCATGATTAAATCTCAACAAATGCCCAATTCAGTTTGTAATTTAAAGGTATTTTCGACTATTTCTAAGATTCCATATCTAAGCAATGTTAAGTTTTCATCACCTTATATTTGACCTGTTTTTTCGTCGGCTTTTTTTCCATCTCGCCAATGTCTTCACTTTTAAAAAGTGTAGAAATTCAGCAGATACGGTACTAAATAACACTATGGAAGATGAAACTATGACAAGTGCTAACATAATTTCCTTGTCGATGAGTATTCTAGACGATTTCTCACATTCGCGGATGCTGACTGGAACTTTTAGCAAATCTCAGATTTGATAAGACTTGAACCAAAAACCTTCTGCTTAACCGATCCAGGATTCTACTGAATAAGGTTTCTGTTTCTAACCAGGTTATAATTTTATTTCAACTACTAGATGTCACGTGAGCGAGAGATACCTGGAGCCAGCTGCCTAACCATATCTTTACGTACCAACACAATTTGTTCTAAATTAGATAGAGGGAGAAAAAGATTGAGGATTTATGCTGATCTTGGTGACCAGCAGGGGAATCCAGGGTGTGTGTTTCGTCCTACTTCGGACTCGTCATTTGGATGTACCTGCACCCCAGTGAGTGATGTTTTTCCCACCGAGGTTTGAACCCAGTACCCTTCGCTTCAAACTAAGATAAAAATTCTCCAACCGCCATCTGATTCGACAATGCGTGAAGTAAATGCTGCCACTTATGTCAACAGCTATGTGTACCTACAAATTCACATGCTTCTGTGGATCTGACTATATTGGACGTTGTAAGCAGGGCCCTTTGAAAACGTGTTGTTGAACATTACCCGCTTTGGCTTACCAAAGGCGAGAGAAAGAAAACAACTTTATCTATATGTGAACACCTAGAAGGGTTAGGTCATTCAGAACCTCGAGATCCATCCTATAAAGTAATTTACAAAGTTAAATTGAACTATTCCAAAGGTCCACGTTTCCACCACTTATGCATAGCTGAAGCATTAGCTATACATGAACAAAAACTGGAAGTTTCCATTCAAAAGCGTTTTGCGAAACCGCTTTCTCTACTTTGGTTTACACAATTCATTTTAGTTATTTTGTCAATTTCATTTCACCTCACTTTGGTATACTTCTCTTTTATTGTCTCATTATCACCAATTTTCAACACATTGACAACATCCGACCCATATTTCACTATCTAATATCAATTCGTTCCCTATTTATTGACCTATTTTTCATGTTTCAGTTACATTATCACCGTTTTACAACTCTTTGACAGCACGTGTCTCTAATCTCACCACTGGTTATCAATTCGTTCCTTATTCAGTGACCCATTTTCTATTTCTTCCACTTGAAGAAATACCGCCACCAACACCTTTCGTATGTTTTGCATATTGACTGAGCAACTTTTAAGTGCGATTATCTGTGATTTTACCGAGTATAAGTACGACTGTACAGCTTGATAATGAAGTCGCTGAAAAAAAATATTTCTACGCTGATACATGTTTTGTTCTTATTTGTGAATAAATGGGTATATTTCGTCAGCTGGAGAATGTTTACCATTATTAGAAAAAATGCATCAAAAGTGTTTTGTGGACTTCAGGCTGAACAAAAAATAGTATTGAAAGTGAAGTCATTAAAAGCTTAAGGATTGCATCATCTTCGAAAAGGTTGCAAGCAATAAGCATGTGAGCCACAATCTTACTCAACTCCTCATATATGAAAAAAATACTGACGTCCCATAAAGATAGACTTTTGACAAACACTTTCACTTGAAAATAGTCAATAAAGGACGTTATAAACCGCATCTTAGATTTATCTATGGTATAGAGATACGCTGTTGAAGTAAGACAGTGAAATTGTTAAAATTACCAATGAGCATGCCACATGAAAAAGATATTTCAGTACAAGTTCACAAATGAAATACTTTGTGTCGTAGATGTTTGATATTCAAAAGTGTATGCCCCAAAAATTTAAGTTCCTATTTTTGGTGCCTTTTCAGCACCTCATCTAGTGTTTCCTTTTGCTCTTTTTTTAAATGACGATAATTTTTAAAAAGTTTTTCCATGGTTTTTAACACGCTGTTTTACTTGTATGCTTCGAAGACATTTGCATCTTACATGAGCAAATGAGCTGTAACTGTGTTCCATACGCTGTTTGTATCTAGGTTTTAGCTGAGTGGGTTGGAGAGTAATTCACAATTCATTAGCACAAACAGATAGCGTGTCCAGAATCGAGTATTACCACAAATTCAAATCAATTAACAATGGGAAATGAAAAATAATGACGCCAAAGTTAGAGTTGATTGCAAGTTGCACTAATAGACGAAGACTATTCAATAAATAACACAAACAAGCCTAGATTCATTTTAAAACGCTTATTTTCTATAATTTGATGATAATGTAGTCTTGCAAATAGAATCTTGTTTTCATTTGTAGCCTTGGTGACATTTTTATCTCAAAACCTTTCATAATTATCCGCATTTTAAATCGTTTTACAAAATAGAAAATCGATTTAATCAAAAGAAATACTTCCAGACAAATGATTTACGATGGTTTTTAATATTGAATGACAGTATCGTAAGTTACAAATTGTACAGTTCACACTAATATTTCCCAAAGCTGGACAGTTATTCAACTGCTTCACTGTGGTGCTGACATGGTTTCGTTGGAAACCACTCAGTCAAGATCATAAATTGGGATCGCTAACTAAGTATCGATATCTAAAACAACAGAAAACTTACAGTTTTTCTTTCTTGATCTAAGTGTTCCTCGAGTCGATTCAGTAGATCAAAAAATAAACTCCGATCAGATGAGTCATGAAAATGTTCGCTTTCAAGAGTACTACGAATTCTCGTATTTACAGAATTCAATGGCATAGGCTTTATTGCTTGAGTTGGATCGGAATTAACAGAACCACTATCACTGCTACCATTAATAACATTATTGAGTTTACAAACATATGGGTTACATTGTTCGGGTACTTCACATCTATACAGAAAAAAATAAATCATAACGCATACATTTTAAAAATATGACGAGAATTCTAGACTGAGTAATGAAAAGTTGAAGATTATCTGAAACATGTTACGTACAAGTACTTTACATTTTTAACATATATATAAACCACATTATGCAGTCAAAGGGAATTTGCGCTTACTCTGAACTCGCCGTACTAGCAATACTGATTTCAACCCTTCATACTATTGGTGGTATGGATCTGACAACTTTTGTTTTTATTCTGCCTTGATTCTCCTTTTATTTACGACTTCAAAGGCTTAATCAAACTTTTCTGAGTTTTCATATAAGTATTTTAACAGGTTCACGTATGATAAGATTGCTGAAATTGTGTAGCGCTAATTCATCACATGTTTTAGAAAACTTTCGTCTTCTCCTTATGTCGTTTAAGAAACGACTAATCTTTCGAAAACTCAGTTGCTAAACCAACGAAACGCGATTTCGAGTTAAATACCTGTTTCTATAAAGAAGTTAACCAATCCTGAGTACGTCCTCATAGAATAACCATATTATAAACGTAATCTCAAAATAGTCACAATCAACAGATTATGATGATTAAATCGATTGTTTTTGATGTAAACAAACTCTGAATGCACACCGTAACTTTAAAGGCAACATACTACATCTAAAAAAAGGTCAAGTCAATCGCTTGGGTCGAAATAACTTCACTGTGCTTAGTAAGCAAATAAGTTATATGACAGTATAAATGCTTCCTGCTGAGAATATGCTTTATATATATATATATATATATATATATATATATATATATATATATCAAACCAACTATAATCCGCGATAAACTGGTGCCTTATAAGTATTCATTGGTTTCACGGTAATTTTCATCGCCATGCTATAGTCAACTGGATAACGACAATAGTTGACACTCCTGAGATAGATCTGTCGTATGGTCATGGGTGAGTCTCCTTGAACAGTCCCAGAATAGGGAGGAACAGGCGTTCGATGCCCTTAGTTTTCCAATGTTTCTCCAACTGACGTCAGTCCATCAAGAAAACCGCCTTGAAACGATATATTATATTCACTAACATACTACAACGAAACTTGTTAAAAATTATGTAAGATAATTTATCAGAAAACGAAAAGTTTCTTAAGGCTGACATTCGGCTTAAATATCAGATATTGTAGATAAAAAGCATGTGGAACTTCGTAAATAATTGAGCAATAACGTACTCAAATCAGATGTTTACGAAACTAATACAATGAGCCAAGAATGATATGACTACATAGAAACCAGCATTGAGATTTCACAGTAGTTTTCTTCAGAAAGTAAGAACCTTCAGATAACTCTCACAGTGTCACAATGGCAAGTTTGAAATATGTACGACATATAAAGCTAAACAGCTGAAACAGTAGGAAACCATTCACACCAATCATCAGTCCCTCGTAGCCGGATTCTTAGTTTTGTAGCCTAGTAGAAGAATTTAGGGAGAACATCTTTACTGCCAGATTACTGGAACTTATAGATCAACCGGATTTGCCACATTTACTCTCACTTCACTTTCAATGAAATTTCTATAACTACACTGAATATTTTCTTAAACAAGTAAATATCGACCATTACTGCAACAAAAACTAGGTCATCGCTGCTCTTTCGACCTAAACTATATGTCTAATTTCACCAACTTTACAGTCATTTCATCGGGTTTTCAAGTTTGAAATAACACTTCAAATAAACAACGATATACTGATGAGTCGACTTGTCGAATCCCCATATTAAATATTTCTGCAGAGCTTCCTGTTGATTACGAGATGAGGGGTAATCAGAGTATCCATATTAGGATTAAAATAAACTGACGAAAAATAATCAATACAATGTCTAAGTTTGTTATACTCAAAGGATCCAAAAAATTTTCCCTGTAGTGTGATTACGAGTCATGGTACATACCGAATTGAACGATCTTTTCTTTAGGTAGATTATCTAACTAGTGTATACCATGTATTTTTTCTAGTTTCAGTGCTTCAATATCCTGATTGACTCCAATCGAGTAATCCAACCTATGTATCTGACTTGACAATCATTGTATGGTAATTTATAGATGAAGATATTTTGCTTAATTGGTTCAATGGGAAACTTGAGTCTACAAAGTAAGTATGTGGATTTAAAAACCAGCCTAATCCCAGCCTTGCTAGGAGTTTTACGCAGAGCTCTTGATGTTTTAATAAGCTTTGCTTAGTATCTATAGAGTGTAATTGTGTAAAACCCACTGTGAATACTAGCGAACACAATAATGAAATTTTAAATGAGACAGATTCTCAAAATTAATGTCAAATTACTCTGCGTAGTAAGTACTTAGTCTTCAAATATCTCCGCAATTTTTAAGGTTAAAAAGTCTCTTCAATATACCTTATCAAAATACTTTGTAATGGTCTCTTTGAACTTCAGAAGTGACACACTAAAAGACTAATAATATAACAAGCGTGTAGGTTCTTGCTTTAAGCAGCGGGCCATATCAGTTATAGAAAAGCTAGTGACATTGCCTACGTGACGAAACTTGGGTAGATGGAGCGGTTTTGAACCCATGACCAATTGTTTGAATCATTCATCTCAATAAATGAACCACAGCTTCATAAGTAAACAGATAAATGAGCATTATCTAGCTACCACTAAGTTGCATCAGAGAGAAATCAAATTGATCCCGAAAAGCATAACGTTAGGCGACTTACGTATGATTTTGTCTTATCGGTTAGTTAGCTTTCAAGAAAACAAGTCATTACCATATAAGAATAAAAGGAATAGAAGCTGAACAAAGTAGAAGAAATAATAAGCAGAAATGAAGAATAAAACATGCAGATAGGGAAATAGAGATACTTTGTGATCAGTGGTTCCTGATCTGCAAGTTCAAGAAAGAATGAGTGTATACGTACCATTGTGGTTGGAAGCCTTCAAGTGTCGACCCAAAATAAGTTACTGCTCCAAGATTTAAAGGCTACGTGAGAGAGTAAGAACGATGGGTTTTTGAATGTTTGCTATGTCTCAGTCTAACCAAGGACAGTTAACTTCCTTAATACCAGTTATCTGGCCATACCGCGTCAGATGAGAACAGTATGGCTTGTTCAGCTTATTTCGTATTCACTTTGTGTGGCATGGATTTATATCTTCAAACCAATTAAAGTTCCTTGTCTTAAGCTCTAATCACACTCATTGTTACTCATTATACGGTGCTTTAGAAAACACTATCAACTAATAGTCATACTGAGGTAGACAGAAAGAGTAAAAATCAATACATTTCAAACTGATAGAAACTAACTTTGTATTGTTGTCTATCAGAGACGTATTCACTGACATTTTATTATTCATAGCAACACGTTTCTTGCTACATATTGAAACTTCTGAGGAACAGGGCTTTTTATACAGACCATAATGAGTGGAATGTGAACAAGAAGTACCGCACACAAATGGCTTCCTTCGAATACTATAACGCATCATAAGAGTAGCGTTTAAATGCTCATCTTGAATAGCGTCTGAAAAGCTGAGAACAAACAACTTACAAAACAATATGGCTCTATTTTAAAACGTTATGTCTCGGTGAAATAATTCCAAAGAGTTTACTTCTCTGTGAGAGATTTCACTTGACAAGCATATATGGCAAAAAAGGGTTTCGAACATTTTTGTAGCAAATTTTTATTACCTACAAGTAGTTCACACAGTACATGGGTGAGCAAAATCAAGGAAAAACTACAAATGAAAGTGAAAAACAACCAATTCTATTGAGAGTTATATTATATACTGAAATATCTTCTTCAGTCAGCTGGAAAAGCCATTAGAGTTCCACGCCACTAGCAATATATCAAAAATTACACTTATTTGAAAAGTAGTAATTGGTCATTATATAAGTTTAACTACCTGAAGTTCCAAAATGCAATTAAGCAGATATACTCTGTGAAATAAAAATGAAGGCGTGTAGAGCGGTTCATCCATTTTATTAACTCAAGAGTGAGAAAACAGATATTCCAAAATGACATCGATATATAGCTTCCTTCCAGTCACGTTATCATAATTATGAAATATTTAACAATATTACATCAGCAAGCAAACTGGCGACCAATCATTACAACGAATCGCAGCAGATGTGCACACAAGACCTAAGTGTGGTTGCCTAATTGAACTTACCTGACCATTGTGGTGAATCAGTTAATTTCAGTTTTACAAGTGTCCACAGACGTAATAGCTAGCTTTCATATGTTTGTTTGCATAGGTATACCATTAGGCTGTAAGTTAGAAAGCTTACTTATCGACTTGATACCAGTTGACAGCCATCTGTTTGCTAGACAATTCAATGGATCTTCGGAAACTACAAAAGATCGTGAAGCTTGTTGACGCCAAATTTTAGTCACTGAGTAAAGACATATCCATTACAGATTGGACAGTACAAGGTAGGGAAGTCGAGTCAACTAGAAAGAGGTCCATGGAGTTATCTGCCGAATTCAAACGGAAAGTATACTGTGCTGCAGTCCAACTTATCCTGTTCGACGGCTGTGAGACATGGTCATTGAAAGCAGAAGACAGGAAGAGGCTACCGATTTTCAACCACAGGTATCTTGGCAGCATTGCTAGCGTATGTTAGGATCACCGTGTGAGTAACGTCGAGGTTAGGCAAAGAGTACCGGGCAAGGAACGCAACTCAGTCAATGTGGTTGTGAACCTTCAAAGACTGAGATACCTTGGACATGTGTTTTGCATGCCGAGCTACCACCTTCCCCGACGTGAAGTATTCGCCAAAGTAAGACTAATTTGGATTGGGTACTTTTGACAACATAGCTGGAAACCAGTCACAATGTCCCGAACGTACAAACTCTCCGACGTCTTCCAAAGTTTTTTCATTTTCACTATCCTTAATTTTCAATTTTTTTCTCCCATAAACGTGTCTACTTTGGTATAACTCCTTTTCTACCCACTTGTTCTATGTATGCCGCTGTGAAGTATGACAACATGAATCGATCCATTTCTCTGCCAGGTTCTGCAATAACTTCGTCTTTCCGCTTCTGATCTGCTGAATCCCATGCGATAAACGAACAACGATGATCGTCTCCTCCAATCTTTTTCTGACAACCACTAGTTACTGGGCAGTACTAAGTTCAAACAAAGGAAATATATTTTCTCAGTTGGTGTCCCCCACCACCAAGCCGAAAACAAACTCAGATAAATTATATTCCTGTCGGCTATCCTTCTAGAAAATCAGTAAATTGTCCTTCTTTTCGAACTACCTGCCTTTATTCAGATTATGAGGCACTGATTGTCTGTGTACACACGCCCTAATGGATGTAGAAAAACGACAGTAGTACAGCATTTCTGAACTCCACCAGAAAATGTGTATGCAGAAAGTAAGTAGACATTCATTTGTGTGAAGAAAGCAGAAAATCCCTTTGTGGACAAAGTTTGGAGTAATATTCAGTCTGCTGCAGAAACAGTGGCAAGAACAGTTAAACTATATTTGAAGGTTGGGATCTCCGAAACTTCATCCGCAAAGAATAATTCTGGCTGGCTTCAACCCCTAAGAAACGTAAAAGCAGCTTAAACGTAAGCCGAAATGGCTAACAGCAGTCGTGAGTGGTGAAAGCAAATGAAATAGAGAAGGCATGAGTTTTGAGTTATTAACATCAGTGATTTGGGACCAATGAGGAGACGAAAACAAAGAAGGCGATGGCTAGCAGTATTGTCATTGAAAAGGATGAGTCACTGATAACGTCCAGAGAAAGGTAACTAGAAATTCAGGTAGACTACCGTTACAAACAATTTAACTGCCTTCACCTAATTTTCCGTTGCACTTATCTGGATGGAACGTCGATCCTCCACTCTTCTTCAAAGTTAGAAAGGTTGTCGCAAGTCTAAAATTATGCAAAACAGCATGATTGCGTGCACGGAGGTAGAAAATTAGTTAATTTATACGAAATAATAGTTGGTTTGAGGAAATCAGAGTTAGTTTAAAAGACTGGTCTCGTCGAATCGAAATGCACTAAATAACCATCTCCATGCCTGTGAATTATGTATGCAACGAGCTGCACCTATTGGGTAAGGGCTAATGATGCTACCTGGCTGCCAAAACCTTGGTTAACGAAACATGGTTCGAATACGAAATCAGAAAGTCGAAAGTCAACTGCCTAAATCAATGAATGACACCTCCATGCACAGACTGGTGTAGATTGCTGAACATTCCAGTCTATAACAAATGAATCAAGTCTTTGTGTGACAACCGCAGGGGAATCTGCTTAACAAGCGCCTTGTCTGATACCTTAAAGTTCATAGTCGTTCGACTACAAACTGAATCCCGATAACAAACACATGAAAACCAAACAGGTTTCAGACCTTAAATTGAATGCACCGATCAGATCTTCACTCCTCGACAGGTTCTGGAACACAGCCTGCTGGTGCCCAGCAGTTGCCACATTTTCTAAAGCAAAAACTGACAGTGTGACGTTATAGAGATTACTCAGCAAATATGTTAGGACAAACAAGACTCTCCACTTGGAAACACGAACACGTGTAAGGGCTTATGTGAGTCCGCTATCATTACCGTCTACCTTTGCCACAGTCATAGCTTGGGATATGTGCAGTTCGATATATATATATAGTGATCAACTGCTCGAGTAAGAACTGGTTGGCACAGTCATACGATTTGCCAAAAGTTGATGAATCTTAGATTTTTGATATTTATGGGTTTCGAAAATACCTACTCGAATAACTTAGATTAATCGACGGATATAAGATTCTCTTCACTTTGTCCTATCGCAGACAGAGGGGAGACCTGATCATGCTACACAGGATTCTTAGAAACAACCTCGAACCTGGTCTTTTTTCTTTTTTCCTTCTCACCGGGTCGGAACACCTCAGAGGACATAGTAAGAGACCACAAAAGCAAAGACCGAACATAGTATCCGTAGAGTACTGGTTCTCCCTTCGAGTAATCAACGCCTGGAACCGACTCCCAGGAGAAGTGGTGTCCGCATCACCAGTCGGCTCGTTCCAAAGGAGATTGGACAAATACAGACATCCACTGGAAAAGGATTAATATAGGCTCCCAGCCTCCTATCCTCAAACAATAAATCTGATTCTGTGTCTAGTAGTTCAAATGGTTGTTGACGGAATAGAATCCCTTGCATAACTGGCTTCCACATCTACAATCCGTGGACCACAGCTTTTTTTGGTTGTCAACCTGTGTACAAGTAAAGAAAGAGAAAAAGGTGGTGATTAAAATGTAAAAATTCAGTTAGTTTCGGGCAGATCCTGGTCACACGTTGAGTGGGTATCCAGTCGGCGTCGAAAGGATTAAGAAGAATAAGCCTGGGTCACATCTTCATGAAGAGCATTACAGGGTTTAACAACTCTTAGGGAATAGAAGTTGTGCCTGACATCTAACCTGCTATGTTCCAGGCGTGTCCTCGAATACAGAAAACCAAAGATTGTTTATTAATTATGACTGTGGTATAGTTTCGTTGATTAACATCGACACCCAAATAGTTACCGAAGTCATTGCTACATAAGACCCCATGTTAACTCTCACAAACGAAAAATAAAAAACCTGAACTGCCGCGGATAAACATACACTGTTCGTGACCCTTATTCGTTCGAAGCAGTGCAGTTAAACACAGATACGGATTTCGCATTTGGAGTTTGTCGACCGAAGGCTGTAAGCTAATGTAATCTCTTTTACGGTGGACGTTTGTGCTCACCCAGTCTTCCGTAGAACGAATCAATTGATCCACTATCCAATACTGAAGGTGTGAGCGTAGAAAACTGATAGTTTATCTCTCCCGTCTAGTTCTTAGGGCTTGGTTTGATTTGTTCAACTCACTCCTGTGGTTGAAGTGGAAACCCCCTCTGCTTTCTTGCTTTTAGCTTCGGTGAGGTGGATGTTTTGTGGGAATGAGAATGGTAAGATATCCAATATCCAATATTGATAGTGCGAGGGTAGAAAACTGGTAGTTTTTGATCTCTCGCGTCTAGATAGTGGCAAATAATGAAAATAATGAAAATGGAAGAAAAAAGGAAGAGAAAAAATTCAGAAAAGGGGAAAAAATAAAAATAAAGGAGAAATAAGCATGTGTGATTTGCTTGAAGGGTAAAAGTGGATAGTACAGGTCTATTTACTGAAGAAAAATTAGCAGGTAATGTGAGCATATTAAGGAGAGAGATAGTGGGTGGTAGGTAGAACTGAAGTGAGGGTGGGCTAATGAGGTTAGTGACTCCGTCAGCACTCCCGTGGTGGACCGTGCGAGTGGATGAAACTGTCCAGCCGTCTTTTGAAAGAGTCAGCTGGGGGAGCTATAACAATATATCGTGGCAGGGCATTCCATAAACCAAAAACCCCCAAGGAGAAGTTGGTCCCGAGCGTGGTGCTGACTCATTGACTTGCTGTCCTGGTGGGGCTTTCTCACGATGGCCGCCGCGTTGTACCCAAAGCTAATGTGTCTAAGTTGTTTTCCCGATGGCAAGCGATCTTGTAGACCACAGCTAGGATACCCCTGTAGCGTCACAAACTTCCCCAAAATAAATAGCCTAGGGTTTGACGACTTCGACATTGATGCTGACCTTGATAGTTTAACTGGACTCGCTAAGCTGAAGGCATCCGGTCAAGCATCCTCGCCATTTGGCACGCTGTCGTGTTACGTTGCATTGCTCGTATTCGACTCTCTAGCCAGTTAGTTGGAACGCATCGGTATTTTGGCACAACTATCCAAATATACTATTCCATCCGACTGCGCTATCATGTTCTTCCTTGGTCTCGTATTCGTGGGTATATAACAATTCCGAATAAATAGTGATTGGTCTTTGCGTCTGTCTAGTTCGCACCAGGACGAATCCTAAACCCCTGTTCCTACGATGACCCATGGTAAACAGGTTTAGGTGTTTTAGCCTTTCAGGGTATGCATTCATCCTTAACCCCGCAAGCGATGTCGACTCAGGTCTTTGCATTTTTTCAAGCAGGTAACAGTCTCTCCTTGGTGGTAGAGGGCCACCTTAGCGAAGACACCTAGATGTGAGCGTACGTAGGATTTCAGAACTGTGAGAGGGATTTCAGGGCTGAGAGCGCTGCCTATGCAGAAAGTGCAAACTGGCGTTCGCTCTGGTTGCCATGTCTTTGTGGTCAGAGTCGGTGTTCAAAGTGTCGGAGAAGTTGAGCCGCAAATCTTTCTCTGCTGAAAGCACGGTTGCTCAACACATACTGGAAATCGGCCGTTCCTGCTCCATGCTTACCGATATGCGTTGCTTTGCGCCTTTCCAGGTTGAAGCTAATGCCATTTTCGGAAGGCCAGAGTTTGGGTTGCTGCAAGTCATTCCGTAGTGCCGTACCGTCGGCTTCTTCGTTTACTGCACTCCGAATTTTAATTTCGTCAGTGAAGGGGAGGATGGATGGATATTCGGTGCGGCAGATCACTGACAATCAAGAGGAACAGAAGTGATTCTAAGATGGCTCTTTTGCATACTCCTGACGTCGATGGTCTCCACTTTGTCTGTGTCCTGTTTACCTTGGTGCAGAACTGCCTCCCTTCTAGGTGCTACTTGAACCAAGAGGGTAGAGGTTCACTTATACCGGTGATATGATCTTGCGAAGCTGGACGTGGGCGGACAACCATCAAATGCTTTGGATAGGTCCAGAAAAACAACGCGTACTATTTTCTGTTGTCCCAGCTGTGTCAAGTCGCCCCGGGTGGTTGGCAAGTTGGTGGCACATGAGTGACCATTCCGAAATACATGTTAGACAGCATGGACGGTGTTTTCCCTGTTGAGGAATTCCCGGATAGTGTCAGCTCCCGGGCTTTCTAACACTTTGTACTGTATAGGGAGAAGAGCAATCGGCCTGCAGCTGCCAGGGTAGCTTCTGTCTCCTTCCTTGAGGATGGGTGACAGGGTGACGCCCTTTCATAGTTTAGGGAGTTTGCAAAACTCTACTGAGCGTTTGAAGGGGTTGTAGATTGGTTTTTTAACCACCTTGGCGCAGTTTTCAGGATTACCGGCTTTAGGTCATCGCAGCCTGAGGACTTACCTGTAGGCAGCCTAGATTGTTTCTCCAACACTTTCCTCTGTGACCGAGATGCGGCAGGGGCATTCTTTATTCATGGTCTGACCAGTGTCACAACGAACTAGTGTGGATTTGGTGTCGGTAACAAGTTGGGCTTGAATGTATGAGCTTAGGAGCTCAGCAATCTCTAGACTGCGTGGAACACTCCCATCCGGGCCTGCTATAAGATTCACTCCCCCGTTGGTCGGCTTCATTTTTGACGTGAGGTGGTACAGATTTTTGGGGTTACTTCGTAACCTCCCTGCAGGTTTTTTGATTAACAACTCTGTCGCTACACATTCTTATGTTACAGCGGCTAAAAATCCTTTTGTAGTTTGATGATGCGAACACAAATTATTCTGGGAGTTGGTTCCACGAATTGATTACCTTAGAATTCAGCGTCAAAGGACTGTTACCATGACTTTATCCTGTTGGGTCATAGAACGCCAACTTGTTGATAGCTTGGAACAGCTGGACTCTGCTGAACAAGAAAAGCTCATTCACATTGTTTTAGTTGATTTTCTGAGGCCCTTGGTAGGGCAAACAATTGTATCCTTTGTAATAAACTTTTGCTTATGGGTGTACACGGAAAGCTACTGAGTTGGCCTGGTGAGTTCTACAACACACGAATGCAATCAGTTAGAATTGGCTCTTCTGTATCTAATTGGTCTCCGACGCTGAACGGTGTGTATCAGAGCTCCATTCTCAGTCCGCTACTGTTGCTTGCTTCAATCGGTAGCATACCAGGATCTCTCAGTTCTCACTCACATTTACGTCCTGATGATCTGAATATTTGGAGGGAAACTTAGAAGCAAACAGACATTACAGTCCTCCAGTCTTAAAGCAGGCCACCGAAAATCCACTTCCCCTCAACGTGGAAAAGTGTGGGATAATGATTTTTGACAACCACAGAAATAGTTCCAGTTCTGATTGGCTGGATGAGGCAAGCATATGCCACCCAAATATTGGATAAGACTTGGAAGTTACTTTGAGCGACACGCCTAGAGCTTCTGTCGATTGCCGCTTTGTGGTCAACAGGGCCTATGGAGTCCTCGGGTTTCTCTTCAAAACTTTTGCAAGCCCAACTCTGGCCCTTTTCAACAGTGTGTTCTTCTTCATCTTGAAAAAACTCGTTTGTGATACTCCCACACTTAAAGAAGGACATCGTCATTCTAGAACGGTTTCAGTGAAGAACCGCAGGGAAAGCTATTAGGTTACTGTACAAGCCTGACCTCGATCGCTTGGTTGCTCCTACGCTGCAACCTGGAACTATGAGGGAAGATCAAAAAAGATATGATCCTAATGTATCACATTTCCTTTAGTTCCCTTCATCTTGAAAGATTTCTTTTAGGCTTCATTTTGGGGCCACCTGCTAAAAGTAGAGCTCTCGGGAGTGGGCACGAAGATCTCTGCCAACTCTTTTCCCGTACCAGTTGTTGCAGCTCTCCCGTCCAATGCTTTCAAAGGGAGGCTAGATGCACATTTAGAACCACGCGTAACCGATTGGTTGTACTCGAGAAGCTTTCCGTCATCCGTAGATCAGGAGGAGTAACACCAAATACAGAGAGCAGATCAAACTTCTCGTTAGAAATCTTGCCCCTTTCTCTGCCTGCTGTTGTGTTTTTCTGTTCGTTGTAGGAAAGCAATCCACGTCTAAGCATCCACTTAAATGTCACTGAAAATAAATTATTAGAGGGGCAGACCGGCAGAAATTAGGTGACCAAAGTGTTGCTGAGCGCACAATGCCTTTGGACTCATCATTTGAAGTATATTATCGTTAGTTCAGGCTAGCTATTCAAGCATGTGGTCCCATTGAATTCTTCCTCATCATGGAATCTAGTATGTACCTAGGGAACACCTCGTAGAGCAGGTTGAGGGACGGATGTTATGGCTGTCGCATCCTAGAACTAGCGGGCGTATTTTGAAGACTACGGACAGTAAGACCAAGTTTGCTTTCCATGAAGAAAGTGGAGTTGGAGCCGATTAAAGTTTTATGCGAGCTGCAGGTCTCACCCACCCCGGCGACTGATTTGGCGACAATGGGTACATAAACGGGGCCGCTGAATCAGACCCTGATCAACCTTCCACACGCGATTCGGAGAAGTGGCAAGTGCTTATGACCAAGCGATCTAATAAAGGACTGACCACAGTAAACACTGAACGCCCCGCTGAACAACTGCAAAGCGGAAAACTGTCAAAGGTCGATAATCCTCTTTAGAGCTGACGAATCTATGGACCCGAAAACGCGGGACCATTCCGAACGAGACCTTGGTGAGGTAAACATTTTGGTAAGCAAGATGCTACCAGAGGATGCACCAGGTGAAATCCCAGTGGGGATACAGAGAATGGGTTATTTATGAGCAGTGACCGCCGAAGATTGGTTTTGGTCGCTGAAAGTCAGGTTCAGATCTTGGGGGTAGAGAAATCTTACTTCGAATAACGGCCGTGAGCTCCGAAGAACCGAAGTGTTCGTGAGCAAGGAGTTTTCTCTTCCAGACCGGATCAAATTGAGAAGCTGAGGAAGAACTGCGTCTTGGACCAGCAGCAGGAAGGTAACCCAAAA